ACAAGAATAACCAAATTTGTCCAATGCAGAAATAGAAATTAAATTCCGCCTAAATGACGGCACAACAAATGTCTCTTTCAAATCCAAATAAAAACCAGTCTTTAATAATAATCTAAAAACACCGATAGCCTCAACTTCAACCCGCTTGCCATCACCGACATAGATGTATCTTTCACCATCAATTGGTTTTCGGCAGCTCAGGCAACCCTGCATAGATACACTTATGTGAGTAGTAGCACTGGAATCTACCCACCAAGTGTCTTTTGGTACCGAAATTAAATTAACCTCAGAACAAACAAGAGCAAGAGACATACCCTTTTTCGCACGCCAAGCATGGTACTTAGTGCAGTTCTTTTTCTTGTGATTAGTCCCTTTGCAAAAGAAGCATCCAGATTCCTTAGTTTCTTCCTTAGTTTCCTTGTGATGCTTCCTGGGAGGCCCCGAATTTGCAGCTTCCTTAATTTTTCTTTTATTGCTGCCCTTAGAGGTAGATGCCAAATGAGCACTTTCTGTCTTATCTTGCTTTATTCTCTCTTCCTCTTGAACACAATGAGAAATGAGCTCATTGAGAGACCATTTCTCCTTAATGCAGTTGTAACTGACTTTAAATTGATTAAATTGAGAAGGAAGAGAGATCAAAACTAAATACACAAGCAATTCCTCAGGTAAAATAAGCTTTAGTGCACTTAGTTTCGAAGCAATATGAGACATTTCCAAAATGTACTCCCTTATGTTCCCTTTGCCTTTATACTTCATGGAAACAAGAGTGCTCAAAAGAGTACTAGTTTCCGCCTTTTCGTTTTTAGCAAAACGCTTTTCAAGTTCGGCAAGGAATGATTTGGCATCGGCCTCATCAGACATTGTGCCCCTGAATGATTCTGGAATTGCACGTTTCATGATCATTAGATTCATGCGGTTTGAGCGTTCCCACCTCTCCATCTCCTTCTTTTCATCGAGGGTAGATGTGTCCTTAAGAGCGGCGGGTTTCTCAGTCCGAAGTGCAAGGTCTAGATCCATGCAACCGAGAACGATCATAACATTCTCTTTCCATTCCTTAAAATTCGTGCCGTTAAGCACTGGGATGCTATTAATATTAGCAGATATTGTAGCAGCAGATTTGTTGACTGAAAGAGAACAAAAATAATATAAATGATATGCTCTAGGAATTGAAATTAATTTTATAATTAATTTTAAATTTAAATATTAGCAATCCCCATCACAAGATACCTAGCGCAACATCTAATCTTGTCTTTGGACATAAATTAGACTTGCAAGTGGTACTCTTGGTGTGATAATAAAATTTTGATAATAAAATCTTGTCAAATATTAAGCCTTTCTTTGGACCGACTTAATATTCACACGAAAAAACTTCATAATCATCACAAATTTTTATTATCACAAATGTACTTAAATTTCGGCCAAATAATAACCTTCCTTTGGGCCGATTACTATCCGCATGAAATAAGAAAGTACACAATCATCTTAATATATGAGTTAATTAATTTCAACAAGAGAGGCTACTTTGGCAGCATGTTGCGTCAATTAATCAACCCAAATATTAGACATGCTAATATTAAATCAACAATCTGAAAATAAAATTGGGCGAATTTTTTCTGAATCACATGCAAATGTGTTATGTGTAACGAAATTTGTAAAACCTGTACCCAATCTTTATGTGATCACAAATTAGGGTTTATACATCCATATCACATAATACATTTTTAAACTGTAAATCATGATCACCAATAAAAGTAATTTATTTCTAAATATGCAATTCTAATGGAACTGATTTTGCCCGTAATCACATATAAGTATTTAATTACCAAAATCGGTAAAAAATCACATATAAGTATTTAACTACTCAAGCCATAAAAAATTCCAAAAATTGATTCACCGAAAAGAACCGGAAACGAATCATAATAAAAAGTGATAAATTAACATTCACTAAATATGATTTGATCATCCATTTATTTCTAAACCAGTGAATCCAAAAGATGATTCCAATAATTAACAATAAAAAGAAGAAAATAAACTAGACCATTGAATCATCTCACCAACAAATCAATCGCAAGTTTGACTGACTCAAAATAAAAATAAAAAACCGAATGTTTAATTCCACCATACTAATTGCCGAAATTCAAAATAAAAAAAAAATATACTCCTTAAGGTAGTTTCTTCACAACAACGTTAAAAATATATATTCACAACAACGTAAAAAAAAATATATACTCCTTAAGGTGTTTAATTCCACCATCCGAATGTTTAAATTACCCAAAAGAACACAACAACGTAGTTGCTTCACATCAACGTAATTGCATATAGAGTTGAAGTGAAACTCCAGTTGGGACAAAACACGATCACAAAAAAAAAACTCCAATATTAAGGTTTCAATTAATCTATCAGCATCGATTCAAGCATGGGAATTACAGGGGAATAAATTACATAAAAGTAAATCACACTACCCTAATTTAAGATCGATCGGAAATTTTCACAACAAACGAAATAGCAGAAAATTCAATCGTTTCGCTTAATCATTAACTACCGATATGATACGTGAATATATCAGGAATGAATTGCATAAATACAAAATCGCATTACTCTGATTTCAGTGAATCGGTAGGTTAAACTGACTCCGAATAATTCAATATGAAGGAGGCTCTGATACCAATTGTTGGAATAAATCCATGAATACTTTAATCTTCATATTGAAATTATCTGGAGAATTAACTGAGCGGAAGCGTACCTGACTCCATGGGAGATGGCCTTTAGAGATCCGGGAGACGGAGGCTAGGGTTTGTGTCTTCTAGTTGATACACACCCTCGGGATTATCTCTCTAGCGATGGGATGCAGAAAGACAGAATGACGTGTACAACTAGGGACCATAACCCCTTATTTATAGAGAGTGCTTAACCCTAATCAGCCCATCATTGATTAGGTCAAGCCCATGGGTCTCTACACATTTGGGCCCTATACCTTATTAGATAACTTATTAGCCCACTTAAATTAATATCCATAGGACCACTAATTTTTGGGCCTAAATATAAGATAGCATATAACATACAATTAAACTCGATAAATAATATATTGTGAATATTACATGCAATATAAGTCCAATAATCTAACAATCCAAACATCCCCTAAGATCACGAAGGACAGCATGGTTTAGGAAGAGCTAGTTAAAATTTGTTTCATACGATAGTGTATAAGAGGTTGTCTTGGTGGCTCGTGTTATATAAGACTATAAGAGGTTGTGTTTGGTTGCCCTTTAGATTTTCTAAAATGTTTCACGAGACTTTCTAGAAAACTCATTATTTGTATTCGCAAAAATCATAAGTTGTGGCCTTTAAGGAATCCTAATTTTGTTGAATTCTAATATTATTCAACAACTCTAATCTACGAAGAATTAATCTAGTCTAGGAAAAGCTTACACGAGTAATCTACGAAGCAAGGCCGGTGTAGCTAGGGGGCCAACATACACCCAGACTCATCCCAAATTTCAATTTTGTTCAAAATATTAAGGTAAAAAATATGTATATAAATTTATTTAAAAACCTTAACATTCTTTGTACCGGTCCAGATTAGTTTATACGAAAGAGACATCTAGATTTTAGGAGTAATATACAAAAGAGCTCTTAGGACTATTTCCACGTGTAAATTCATATTGATAAATCTTAAAAAAATCATATAAATTTGAATAAAGAATCTAATAATAATATAAAAATAGTGAAAATATAAAAGTAGATAAAATTTTAAAAACATTAAAGTAAAAAAAATATAAAAAAATTATAAAACTGAAAAAATAATGTGAAAATGAAAAATAAAAACTTTAAAAACCTTTTAAATAAATGTCGAATATACAAATATTTTTAAAAATTAAAAAATATTGACTTTGATATTCTGAAAGTTTCACAATTTTTGTATATTTTTCTTCAAAATTTAACAATTTTTTAGAATTTTTAAGTATTAAAAACCTGTTATTACATGTCAAAAGCTGATTAAATGGTCAAATTGTACCATTTTTTAAAGTAGACGTACTTATATGATATTTTTTAGTACATGGGATTAAGTGACAGTTTGGAAATAGTACAACGGCTTATTTGAACCTTTTCCTAAATTATTTTAGGTGAAAATGTTCTATTTCATTATTTGTTGTTAAAAAATCAAATGGTGTAAATATATTTTAGTTTCTCAATCAATTACATACCTTGGAAGGAACATCTATTTGGTCAATACAAGTTATTTCAATGAAACTTTTTGATTGCTTATATATTTAACGTATCTTTGATAAAGATAAGTCGGTGTTCATCACTTTAGCACGGTTTCGGAGGTCTCTAAAAGTTCTTTAAGTATTTGTTTAAACACAATAATCATAAAATTTGTTTTAATAATTTAAGATTTTTTGAGGAACCACACTAAGTAGCTCATGTGAGAAAATTTACAATTTTTAGTATTAGTTAGTCATAATCATTTGATATACCGAACATATATAAATCAAACAACAAGCTTGATCAAATAGTATAATTTTTTCTTTTAATATCTTTTTACTATTACTAAAATGGTCGAAAAGCATCTTTTCAATTATTTGTGACAAACACGCGTTGTCAAACACGCGTCGGTCATTTTAGAAAGTAAAGGGATAGAGAAATGAGAAATTGTGTGTTCAACATTCACTAAATATAAGTTTTCTTTCCTCCATATGAAAAACATAAATCTATGAAACCAATTAAAAGTCTTATTTTGGTGTTAAACTTCCATTTCTCCATATTTCCACAAAAGCATCACTTAGTTTTCATTCTCATAGAAATAAATACTATGATTTTCATTTTGAACCGATATCAATACATCATCTACGAGATAATTTCCATCGTCTAAATGATGGTCCACTTTATTAAAATATATGCAATTGGTTTAATAATACCAATTTAGCTTTAATTGGTTTGGGCGCGCAGTCAATGAACAGTCAATGAAACTATATGTTCTGCATTGTAAACAATTTGTACACAATTTTATTTTTTATTTAGCTTTAATTAGCCAAATGGGATGAATGGAGCATTTAGAATTCACTTGAGTAACCCATGGGAATGGAGTGAATTACAATTCGCACCCCCATATCAAAGAATGAAAAGCATCTTGAAGAATTGAAGATGCATGCCTTCATGCATGGCTCTTGTTTGATTAAACATTTACAAGAGTGATCCCTTCCCAGCAAGGGGGAAAAGTGATTCTATACATACTGCATTTACTGACTTAAACTGAAGGAAAGTTGAAAGAAACAAGAGCCAAAATTAAAGAAGAATCGATCTCCTACTTATGGTCAAATTTTATTATTAGGGGAGAGGTTAAGTGCAGTGAAGGGTTAATCTTAGAGCAGTAAGCAAGTTGGAGAATGGTGTTGGGACCAGTAGGCATGTGCAGTCAAGACCCGGTCCAGTAGCTCTTGGGGCACCGGTTCACCTCTTCTTTGCTGAGGGGATATTCTTGCAGTATGTACCAGTGTTTTCCACTTGTCCTGCATATCTTTAGTTTATCATTAACGGATTTTATTAGATCTAAATTCACAAATCATTCCATGAAGCCCAAAAACAACATACAAGAGCTGCAGGGTCCAAATCTTAAATCTAAACAATAAGGTCCTACTTTTGATTGATATGTAGGTAATTTCTTCATATGCCCGTGTTATATTAAGTTATTAACACCTGAAGTTTACGACTTCCATCCTAAAAGGTCAAACTAAAAGAATAGTCTAAGGTCTTATATTCGAGCGTTGAATAACTTAACAATTCCCACAAGAAAGTGGCTCCTTGGAACGTCAATCTTGAAATTCTTGTGTTTGTTATTGAAGTTCACTGGAACATGCCTAATTTTGAAGTATTTGTGCTTACTATTTAGGTTTATGTGGACCAAATTACTGGAACTGGTTAACTTTGATACCATATTAAGACTTGATGTGAGTACATTTTATATTTGATTGACGTGTGATGACTTAGCAGTCTATTGATCTTTTTGGAGAAGTCGATCGTAATTCATCATGAGTTGGAGCTAGGATCTTAAGGCAAGGTCTATCTAATGCAGACAGTAAAATTGCAACAAGAGCTCGATGAAGATGCATGGAAAACATGGGATTTTAGAGCAACCTTCAAATCAACGTAAGTTCTATGCTTTGCATTGTCGAAGGCGCGCAGCTTAACATCACGCCACCTTCCAGTTCCGAGCTTTTCGACAGCTTGAACAAGTGCTTCCACCTCAGAAACGGAGAAAGGCCGACGGATTCGGCGTTGGGCTGTCTCTGATCTCTTTGGTTTTCTCAGTGAGGGAGCCACCATAGCCAGGGCTTCCATGTTTCGGTTTGGAACAGCAACCAATGCCCTTGAATCATCTGATGCGCCACGCTTATTAATTGATGTAGCTGAATCATGAGCACTTCCAATGAAATTGATCATGCGCATCCCTCGACGAGCATCATTTCGTTTCGCTTCGACTCCACTACGCCCCACACTGCAATGAAGATTGAAGTAAATTATACCTTTGCCATGCTCGTGAAAGTGTATCATACTATCATGCGTTTTAGTGTAAACAAGTCCAATTTGAACTGATCTCGTATCATGTGTATTTTATTATTATTTAACTTTCATCTAACTTTAACTATTTTATCATGGTCGAATATAAAACAATAAATGGGACAAACCAAATCAAATGGACTACCTAAACAATTGTGCCAAAACAAACAAACAACCGACCATCAGACTTGTCTTTAAACCATACTAATATTCGGGGTCCCATTTGTTAGTTGCTTATTCCATATTTTGCTGATGTAGGACAATCTTCAATATCATCAATGTGTTACTGGCTATTTTTAAGTTGGAACTTCTGTGTGTTTTATTTTTTCGTCGATATATCAAGAACACAATAAATAAGTATACCTTGCTAGTGGTTCAGGCGAGTCGCGAGAAAGTACAAAAGGATGGTCTTTTGGAGACACTGGATGTGGGGAATCTTGAGAAGAATTGGGCTCAAGTGTGAAACCAACGGCATTGAGCATGTTGTTATCATGACAGATTCCGGACTGTAATAATGTTTTGCTATCATCTCTAACCTTCTTACCCTGCAAAAGGACACCAACGCGTAGTCCACCACCGAGTATTGTTGTCACTGCCTCCATCACTGTCCTCTGAAAAAATGCATTAAGAGAAGCAGAAAAAGATGCATTAGCAATCTAGCATGCATGTCTGATTTTGTTTTTGGGTACAGTAAATGGGAAGTAGTAAAAACTTTTGTTTAACATGCCTTTAGAGAACCAACAGTCGCAGTTTCTGGAATTTCAATAAACAGCTCCGGGATTCTGAATGACTTTATTCTGAGCTTCACTGAGCAAAGAAGAAATATTTATCAGTTAAATGAAGTATTTGTCCAGTCTCAAGTTATATCATTTGTAGATCTTATATAAGAACTCTTAATTAGGTGAAATTGTACATGGTATGAAACTCGGGTCTTGTCAGGTTTATTTTAATTTTTAATTTAAGGCAGTGTCAATTAGGGTTTAGAGTCTGTTGGGTATTTCTACCTCATTTAGAGTCTGTGTTTAGCATATTTATCTACTTTCAAGTTGCAAAAGTTGTAATTATTGTTATAGTTATGTCCTACAGTAAGGTTAATACCCCCATGTCCATAAAAAATTAAAGGTTTACAAAACTGCACCCATTTTGAGGATACTTACAAAATGACCATTCTACCTTATTTTAAGTATGACAACAGATATAATTTATGATTGGGTTAAATGCACCAAACCCCCCTCGTGAAATATAAATTCGGCGTATTAGCCCCCTGTGATTTTAAAAATGTGTCAAACCCCCTTCAAGAACAAATTTTATAATTTTGAAATCACTTTTTTTAATAATATGGTTGAATATGCAAGTAACTTTGTCAAAATTTCTAAATTATACAAAAAACTAATCATTTTTCATTTTTTTGGAAATTAAATTTGTTCTTGGAGGGGGTTTGGCGCGTGATCAATGATAACACAGGGGGGTTTGACGCATTTTTTAAATCACAGAGAGCTAATGCGTCGAATTTATATTTCATGAGAGGGTATGCCGCATTAAGCCCGATCATTCAAGGTAAGAAATAGACATTTTAAACCTCTTCATTTGGAACCATTTTGGTGCGATTATTAATTTGATTATTTCCTTTTCCGTTCGACTCAATATATACTTCTTTCCTTTTTTGATAAAAGATTTTTGGTTCATGTCATTTGTCTTTTGCTTTCTTAATCCAAGTGCAAAATCAAAACTAGAGTTTATTATGGGAACTTTATTTAAGAGTAAAACAAGATTATAACAAGTTATTGGGGTATAATAATCCATCAAATAATTTCTTACCAGGGGAATCGTTACTTCTGAAGGATCCACCTTCAGCTGCTGCAGGATTTGGTGTTCCCGCTGTTAGAGTATAACTGGAAGCATCTTCATTAGAGCGCCCAGCTTCAGAAATGGAAACCGAGTTTTTATCATCATAAAGCTTCCTTTTCTTGAACGGGTAATCTTTCAGAGACCTTTGGCGCTTTAAATCCAGATCGTTCCTTCCATTTCCAAATTCAAACCCTAACTGACAGCTAGAAGAGACATTGGTTCCCGAAACATCCGGACCATCCTTCCTGTTTAAGCTTCCAAGTTCAAGCTTCTCCGAACAATCAGACGAGGTTGTTGTCAATGCAGATGGCCACGTGTCATGTTCTGCGTTATCTCGGAGAGGATGTTCTTGTGAGACAAGCTCAGAAAGAAAGAACCGCCTTTCATAGCCACCATGATCGCAAGGTTGGTGTTCCAAGGTTTCTTCTTCATTCTGTTTTTCCTTCTTAATGCTGTCTTTAGTAGAAGAAGATGTGTTTGCAGAAGAGGGAGAGTTTTGTCCTTCCTCCAGCAGTATATTTCCAGCAATTGTGGCTAATAAGTCAAATGCACATTTTTGTTCATTAACCTCAGGTTTCCTCCAGATAATGCCCCTCTTCTAAAAAATGTAGGATTACAGCAAAATAAGAACATTGAATTAAAGAAAAGGGGAACCTCCTCAAATAGTAAAGTAAAAACAAGATTTTTTCCTAAATAGAAGTAAGTACCAAGTATTGAAAATATCAAGTATTGAAAAGATGGCACTTTGATCCGTATAGAGAGTACTCTACTTTTCCATCATCCGCAATGGAGCCAAAATGGAGCCAAAGATTCATTTTTTTGACTTGAGAATATGATGGAATAAAGAAAAATGACTCACTACTGTTTGTGCTTCTTTGTTATGAAGAAGCAATCGGTTCATGCAATTTTTGTCGCGATTTTCATCATTGGTCATGCAGAAACAGTCTCTCTGTGCTTTAGTACTAGAGTAAGATTGCGTACATCCGACCCCCTTTATACCACTGTAGGTGGGAGCCTTTGCGACACTAGGGTAATATGATGATGAGAGAGTACTCTACTACTTTGCATATTGTTAAGATGACAGTACTACTTATAAATGCATTGTGACCATATGCCCAATTTTGCACAACAATACTAGGACTATGTTTCATTGTGACTTCAGTGACCATGTAGTCATATTTTTAGCATTTAAACTTATTTAAGAAACATCAATGGAAAAGCCTTATAGGGACCAAAAATCTGAATTAGAAAAAATCTGATTATATTTGAGTTAGTAAATTCTAGCTCATAAAAGGAAATAATATACTAACCCTGGTTGATCTGGTGGATCGTGGTATTGGGGGAGCTTCATAACCAATAAATCCATTGTTGTTATCTAATCCCTTATGCAACACCATATTTTGTCAAGGAAGATTGTCAAGAAGAAGTTGAAATGAAAACCATGCAGCCTGCAATGGAATGTGGAAACATTGACGTTAAACCTATTGCATAGAATCTCTCTGCATGGTATGTTGAAGCCTTAAAGAACCAACTGCAATTTTATTGTTGTGCCTAAATGTGAATTGTTATTTTGTAATACTGTAAATTGGAATAAACATAGAACCACAAGAATTTGTAAAATCTTTTACACGTTATATTAATTATTGTGCAGAACACAATGTTCATAAAGCCTAAACTTTTCAATATTTAAAACTATAAATCCTTTAAATGGTTAGTTTTCATGTTGTATATGATTCTGCAGAGCGCACACACAGAAACACCTCTGCTATAAGCCTATAACTCCTGAAAGGGCCATTCCAGTTTCTGTTATCTCCAAGAATACACTATATGTTTATATGATCAATAAATTCAAAAAATACCTAACCAGAAAAATACTCATATGAATCAATTACAGATTGCACTTTATGATCTCGACTGTGTGAAGACACAAACTTTAGAAAAACTCTGACAAAATATATATAGAAACGGATCAACATAAACCCGGACTTGAAATCCTTCATCACTTTATGTGAAAATGCAAAATATGCGTAGTATAAAATTATTCGATGAGAAAAGGACAATGCTATAAACGACGGTTTCAGAAAAAAAAAAGAGAAGCAAAAACCATATATAAAGCATCAAACATGATCCCTACTTTCCCAGAATCCATACATTTCTTTGTATCTAACCAAATTATTGTTGAACTGTTGATCCCTGCATATAGTTAGAAATTTGCAACAAAATATAAATGTGGTGAAGGATGACGTAATTAACCTTTAAACTAACCAACTCTGCGTCAAATTTAACTGGAATTCGATCTCAGGGTATATTCTTCTTTGCAAAAAGATCTAAACTTTACACAATCCAACAATGGAATGAAGAATTGGAGAATGGTGGAGACCACTGGGAAACTTTCAAGACCCAAAAAGGAAAAAAAATAATGTAAAGAAGAATCAAAATGTCAAAAACCCAGAATTTCCATGCCCTTCAATCACTGGAAAAACTCACATATAGGCGTCCATGGCTGTTATCTTTCTTGTGGCAAAATGAAGAAGAAGAAAAGAAAAGGAAGAAAAACCCTGTGAAAACCACCTTTTCCCCCATGTCTTAAACCTCAGTTTTATACAGGGGGCTACGGTTACCGGACCTATCGGTAAAACCATGTTTCGGACACTGAAACCCCTGAAGACCGGTTCTACGCCCTCACGCTTTTGCCAGCTAGGCTCTGGATTCTGCCACGTGGAGCCTTCTACGAATCCAATGGTCACCTGTTGGTCTTTCACATTTCACAGCCGAGAGAAAAACGTCGGGTCAACCAATGGAGGGAATTTCTTCTCACCAGTTGTTTTTTTGTTCTTTGGAACATGAAGAAAATATGGGAAATCTATAATTTTAAATTATAAAAATAATAAATAACAATATACAGAAATTGTTTTCAGGGAATCAGGGGACAAGAGAATAACACGTTTCCAAAAGTAATACCACGTGGCTGTATATCTGCATGGTCTGATAAATCCCAAGTAAGAATTACTTCAATAATTTAAAAGTAAAAACACGCAGTTTTTAACCCATAAGTAATTCGACACCAATAATTCTCAACTATTATAGAGATTTACGGTTAGCCAAGGTTTTTACAACTATGTAAAAAATACATTTTTATTTTAATTTTAATTTGCAAGGGAGAAAAAGAAGGAAATGTGGTTAGTTGGAGGTTTAGCGGTTAGTAGACGGTTACCTCTGAACAGTAACGCTGTAGATTGAAACTGGTGGCGGGTAATGTTTTTAACTTGTAAGGTCGATTTTCTCCGGGTGAATTTGGGGTTGTCGTAAATCCAAACAAAATCATCCTGTTAGATTTAATAGAATGTAGTATTTTTTTAAATATCGAGTATGAATAATTGTTATTGAAAAATATTGTCACTTATACATGTCATAAGTGACATATTTTTCAAGTTATGACTATTATTATTCCTATTTGATGAATAAAAGTAGAATAAATTTTACTTTTGGTCATGCGAGTTTTAGATCAACTCCACATTTAGTGCACATTTTTCACTTTGTCCACTTTTGATACATAACCATTGGGTTTTCGCTCATATATGGTCCTTCCGGCATTGTTTCCGGTGCTTAAAGTCGCCGGAAAAGGCCCACAAACGGTTAGAAACATTAACTACCAAAAGTAGACAAAGTGAAATATGTGGACTAAAGGTGGAATTGACACAAAATTCGTAGGACTAAAAGTGGAATTAATTCAATAAAAGTATAACACTCCTATCTTGTACTCCCTCTGTCCCGAAATAATTGTCATGCTTTCCTTTTCGGTCCGTCCCGAAATAATTGTCTCCTTTCCTTGTTTGGTAAACAAATCTATACAAAACAGTGTCGCTACAGTGCCAAACAGTGTCGCTACAGTGCCAAACAGTGTCGCTACAGTGTGAAATCAACTTTGTTTTCTTAGTCTGTGTGAAGGTCAAAACAGGACGATTATTTCGGGACGGAGGGAGTAATTTACAAATGTTTTTATTCTTATTTAGAGTATTTTTTTTAGAAATATGAAAAAATAGGGGAAGAAGTAGAGAGTAGAAACTAAAGTCGAAAGCAGTTTCCGTTGCTTGTCAGTTGTCAGGCACAAAGTACGAAACTGGGGCTCTCTCTTACAATTTTTTTGATAATTGAGGTGCCCATAATCCTGGAGTTTATGAACTACCCTCCAAAGCCCTTAGACAGTTAAGTCCGAATCTGATCACAGTCAGCCTCGTCAGTACTGGCTCCAAAGGACGAATCCAGCAGGACTTACATCATCTTTCAGGCTGCTCCTCTCACCACACGAACCCGCTACATTCATTACCATCCTTTCCCTTCTCGGCCGCTGAGCAACTCCGTGAAGGTAGGGAGAATCATTGGGAGCAAGACCTCCCTCATCTCCCTTGGTGGGAATTGAATCCAAGACCTCCCACAAAGGAGAGACTTGGGGGTGGATGGTCATCCATTGGACTAAACCCACCTTCCCGGGGCTCTCTCTTTCAAGATGGCCGTATCTGGCCATCTGAGAAAATATATGAATGTTAGGGTTGATCAGAAGATTTAGAAATGAGAAATATAAATGCCATTGGGATTAAATTTTTGTACAATTTGGTACATGGAAGGATCAAGATCAATTGAGGGAAAAATAATTAAAAATACCCTGAAAGATGGAGGGAGGTGAAATGAACATCTCAAACTTGCATATTTAATTTAAATATTTCAAATTTTATGTAAAAAGTTTAATTAGCACCATAGTCAAGTACTATTTCTTTCTAAAATGTAAATTAATTGCATAATTTAAAATTATTAGTATTCATGAAGACACAATTAATATTCTAAACTTCCATTGCGAAATAAATAATATTACCCCCAATCTATATAATTGCAACACTTTTAATTTGCTATTTTAAATTATGCAATTAACCTCAAACTTACATTTTTTGAAAACAATAATACTCCCTCCGTCCCATTTTAGTTAGTCAATCTTGACTTTTCAAGTTAATGGCGTCTAATTTTGACTGATTATATGTTTATCTAGAGAAAATATTAATAATATGAAAATAATATGAAAATGTTCTTTGTTAAAAATATTATCATAAAAGTATAAAATTATTAAATTTTACATAAATATATTAGTTTAAATAATTGGTCAAAGTTTACTACCTTTGACTGGATAAGTCAAAGATGGTTAAGTAAATTGGGACGGAGGTAGTATATGATATAGTGTGAAAATAACTTTTTATAATACACATATAGTTTGAGGTATTTAAATTATATATGCAAGTTTTGAGTATTTACCTCACATCCCTTCAAAGTTTGAGGTATTTTTATTATATTTCTCATCAATGTAAACTAGGGATGGACTGGGTCGGGCCGAACCGGCCAAGAACCGAACCGGCCCTGTACTGTTTGGGCCCGGACCGGACCGAGACCGGTTGGCCGGTTCCGGGCTTTTAGCTCGTTTGGGCGGGTCGGGCGGGTCGGGCGGGCCGGGCTCGGGCCCAGTTTTGGGCGAACCGGCCCGAGCGGTTCGGGCCAGGGTCGGGTCTTTTTTTTTGTTTTTTCAATTTTTTTTCTTTTCCTAGGCTATGGCTGGGTGTTTTGGGGAGGTTTGGGGGGTGGGGTGAGGGGGGATCGGGGGATAACAAGAAAGCAAAAAAAAAAATAGACATCGAACCGGGCCCGGCCCGGCCCGGACCGGTTAGGCCCGGACCCGGTATCAACCCGGGCTGTATTACTGTCATGTATGAAAAATACTGCCATGATTGAAAAATACTGTCATTAATTATAATAAATATTGTCATGTTAAATGCACTGTACTGCAACTATTTGGCAGTCACGGCTACAAGATGACAGTAATTACTGCCATGTTAGTCCCATTTCGGGAATAAAAACAAAGTAGTCCTACTTTGGAATTTCAAACTTCATTTACTCCTATTTTGAGAAATCTCCCATTATTTAATGAGTTTCATGCACAATATGGCAACACGCCCCCTCCCTCGACACAAACATCTTCATCTAAAAGAAAATCAATTTTGAAATCTACATTTGACAATCTTATTAAAAAACTAAAACAACTCTCGCTACTCAACAAAGCACAATTAATGAGATTTCTTTGTATTTAACATATGATGTTGATTTTGAAGAAGATGATGATTTTGATGTTCTAAACTGGTGGAAGGGAAAAGAAAGAATGTTCCTGGTTTTAGCAAAGATGGCTAAGCAAGTGCTATCAATGTCGGTTTCAACAGTTGCCGTGGAACAAGAATTTAGTTCGGTCGGCAATGTCCTAACGCAATCTAGAACGAGGTGAAGCGCATAATCTCTTGCATTGAGACGCTTATATTCTACCATGATTGGTTGAAGACGACCCGTAGAGCTCAAGAAATTGGCATTACCACATCCCAAAACTTTATGGATGAATTAACTGAGGGTGGCTCTACCTATGCCGGAGATTCCGATTGATTAGTATTTCATGTTTTCATTTTTCCTTCAATTCTCAATTGTAACATGTAAACTTGCAGTTCATATTTCTAAATTCTAATAAATATACATTAATTTTTTTATATGTAGCACTTCTCATTTTCTCAAATTAATTAATTTTACGTTATGTAATTTATTCAAAAATTTCAAACTAAAATAAACAAAAAAAATTGAATTCAAAGGCGTAAGCCTCAAAGGCCCAAACGGCTATATAACCGTTGGTGGGGGTGGGTGGGAGTGGGGGTACAAAATTTTCTATAAATACTCCTATTTTCTAACATTTTTATACATAACTTCTCCAATATACAATCTTCATTCTCCATTTTCATCTCCATCTATTCTAGACTTTCTAGTATTTATAGAATTATTATATCTACCATTTTTAAGATGGAAAGTCAATATGTCGTTATCGCGCATAATTTTTATACGCTTGGGGGTTTCACGCGGATACAGGATGGCCAAGAAGCATATTAAGTCATGTGACAAAGCCGAACGACCGTGAAATTCCGATTGATTACAAAATGTATTTCATATTGTATTTTTTTCTCAATTGTCAAATGTAGTTCCTATTTAATTTCAAATAAATGCACTTGAAGTTTGTTTTTAATACTTGTATAAAACTATAAAGAATAAATAAGTAAAAAATGGATTTACCCGGCCCGGCGGGTGGCCCGACCCGTGACCCGGGCGGGTGGCCCGACCCGAACCGGAACCGTCTTCACCTCAGGCCGGTCCCGGGCCCATCATTTACAAACCGGAGGCCCGACCAGGCTCGGCCCGGCCCGAGTCCAAGACTACTGTGAAGTACTTCAATAAAATCCCACAGTTTTGCACTTTTGCCGTTTTGCGCACCAGAAAGTTTAATGTCTTACACCACAGTGTCAGGAAGATGACCTCACACTTAAAATGCTCTTTTCTTGAGACGTTCTGAGCTCGAAACAGCAGCTTTGTTTACCCCATGTATTCGCTATTATACCACTGTTTAGTGTTTATTTATTTATTATGCTCTAGTAAAGACTATATGGAAATATAACAATAATAAAACTTAAGTATATATACAAACATATATAGTTTTTCTTAATTTACAAATATCTTTCTTCATATTCGTTATTAAAGTTAAAAGTATATACTATCGTATATCTCTTACAAAAAGAAAAAGAAAAATAAAAAGTTGTTCGGTGAATGTAGACGCCCTAGGCGGCAATTAGGCGCTCTGGCCGTACAACTAAACACCCTAAGCGACCGACTAATTCACTTATGCACCAAACCAATTAGACGATGACTAGTCAAGCGCCTAGAGTGATTTTTAGAACGGTGGTCACAATCAATCCCTAAGCAGCCCAGCCCTAGCCACCACTGCCTCCAGCCCAGTCCCCAACGACCACAGATCTTAAAATACAAAAGATACACGTACTGACATTGCTTTTTATATATAATAATATAAGAGCAGTATGAATTACGGCAATCAAGATGGCAAGGAAAACGGCTCGACTGGGACACTAGTTGATACAACATATATGTGACACCCATCATATCCTTAACAGGAGAAATGGAGTAGTATAAAAAGAAATGAGGTTTTTGATGTGTCGAATGAGAATAATTGGATTCACATAGACCACCGTCAACAGTGAAAAGGACAGAAACCTCCCCTAACTTCATCACTTAAATAAACTATGCAAATACAACTTTGCCACAAAGAGGAACAAACAACAGACTTACAGACATATAGGACATGAGATACAGATATTGTACACAAACCACAGCAATTGTAAGAGAATTCCTTGTATGCATCCGAAACTTTGATCTATACTTCTTCAGCTAGACGTAAGATTACCATACTGCCATGGATTGAACTCCACTGACTTAGGATCTTCCGCGTCAATGCTGCCCAAAGAATCAACAGCATCACGATGTTCATTGTACTTGCCATTATAGCGGTAAATTTCTAATTCTCCCCATGGTGTTGGATTAACTTCATCTGTTAAATCAAACCATCTTGGTGAGAATTGATGCCCATTCGCCTCACGGCTTCTCTTTTCAGCTCTTTGCCTCTCTTCCAAGCTATAAAAAAGGTCAAGGAAGTATAATTTATTGAGACGGGTATCCTAGGATACAAATGGTTACTCAAGTAAATACTCTTATCCCGTACCCTAAAACAGCACTCCCCCATTCCAAAAAGGACATCACTTTCTCAGTTTCCCTTTCGCTCAAATTAGTTGCAGTATATGTTTACATTTGAATGCATTTCCATCATTTGCAATGGAGCCAAAGATTCATTATTTTTTGGCTTGAGATTATGATGGAATAAAGCAAAATGACTCACTAAACTGTCTGCGCTTCTTTGTTATGAAGCAGCAGTCAGTCCATGCAATTTTGGACGCGATTTTCACTTTGGGTCATCCGGAAACAGTCTCTCTGTGCTTTAGTACAGGGGTAAGACTGCGTACATCCGACCCCCCCTTACCCCACCGTAGGTGGGAGCCTTTGCGGCACTGGGGTAAATGAAAATGATGATATGTTTACATTTGAATGCAACTTCTGTTGCATTTTTTCCAATTTCACCTTTATTTACATTTTATATGGCTAAACTTCCCATATTACTAAAGCATGGATAACTAAATTAAGGGCATATTAGTATTTTATAGTCTGTTCTACGTATGTGGCAGCAATTCATTATTACGAGTCTCAAAAGTATGTGTGAAACACTTTGAAATGTTTGGATATCAGAAAATGCTCTAAGGAAAGAAAACAAAATGTCAAGGAGGTTACTTTATGTTGTTTGGCTATAGCTTGAAAAAATGCACAAGGAAAATGAAATATATTTACGTTTTTTTATATATACTCTATAGGAATTAATAAATAAAATGAGATAAATCTAGAATTTGAGCTGTTCTTTAATTTTATCCCAATTTTTTTTCTTTCTCATCATTCTCTCCTTTTCACCTTATTTTTTTGCCCTATTATTTCCATGTTCCAAACGCACACTACAATGTACAAAAGTGACATCTTTTTTATGGAGAGACTAAGGGAGTAGAAGCAGCTCTAGATTATCACAATATTGAAATCACATTTTGGATGTACATGTTTGTTGTAAGCAATAAAAAGATTGTGTTTGACATACCTGCTTTTTTCAGAACCAGCTTTGGACAGATCGCCTATTTCAAGAGCAGCTCTATCAGGGCGCAGACGAGAATCAGATGCTAGTAACTTTTTCGGAGCAGTATCAAAGCTGTTAATTTTGTGAGCAAAGTGAGTGTACTGGAATTTATCATTTTCTGGAACAGCAGCAAGAGTCCAAACCTACACATATTACATGTGTGTTATTACTTTCCAATTAATTTAGCAGCCACGATATTAACAGAGAAAATAACATTCAAGCTTATCATCTAAGGATGCAACCCCGTCAGAGTGAGCTGCGAGCATATCATTTTTGAAACCAGATTAAAATATTTATGCTATAATCCATTACTTTTATGTTGTTCCTCCGTTAAAATTATATAACACATTGTCTGCCTCTTGTGTCCAATACTCCGGTTTACACTGCAGTGAGATAGTGTACATCATAAAGATTCTGAACAATGATAAAAGAAGCAGGTTTATTACCTCTTTAAGTTCTGTGCTAGGAAGAGGCTCTCCTTCCATGTCACATGGTTGAAAACTCATTGATTTGTTCCATTTTCCAGTCATCAGAATTTTGGGTTCCTCGGCAGCATTATAAACATAACCATCAACCTCATATCTCCCAGACCTGAACAAGAGCATGACATTTTCATGTGGGCTTACAAGAACCAGATGTTTTACTTGTTTACTCTGAAAAATTCTTCATCTAAAAAAGTGTCTTATTTTGTCAAAGTACAACTTTTTAACTTCACACTACAACTCTTAGAGTAATGGAACCTTATTACTCCGTATATTTTTTGAAGTCATTGTTTGGTTTAACTAAAGTTTATCTTGTGAGGCATGTTTGTTACATTTTTGACAAATGCATACACCAAATAGACCCAATTATGAAACATAACTGACTCTTCTAGAAGACACTTATTTTTAAACAGGACTCTTTTTTTAAAGACAAAAAAAAGTTTTTGACAATTGATGCATGATTATTTTTTGGAAAGGAGGGAGTAATGGAGAAATTAGCCCCATCAGTGAAAATGGAAAAAAGAATGAAATAGAAAAGGTAGGGCTGAGCACATAGAACACAATCACCAAACTCCAGTGCAGAAGGAACAACTTTTACCACAAAATCATAAGCCCTGCCTATAGACAACCAAGTGCGACCATAGATGTCAAGGTAGAGGCAAAATGAGCAATATCATACCCAAACCAGCCACAAGGTTGAAAATATAGCACAGCTTTGTCTCCTGTCGTCAGATTGGTCATGATCATCTCTCCAGGTGAATCCACCCATGTCCGACCAAAAATCAAATTGTTGACCTTCGTTGGTGGTGGAACTAAATCCAAGACAACACCGTCCCTTTTAAGAGTCACCCGTGTTCTGCAATCAGAGCGTATATATGTTGAAGATTTCTGTTTTAAGAACTTATGATTGTATTCTGACTTGATTTAAATAGAGCCAAATGGCTTTAGGGGACTTCAGTTATCATGCAAAAAGCTTAAATAGAGATGATTAGTATGATATGCCTATCAAGAGTTCATTTCAATGTTAATGTTCTATAAACTACTCCATATTCTATACCATTTCACGTGTTAATGAAGGCATGATAAAATATAATAATAAAAAATATTCTTATAAGTCATAAATCATAATTAACCTATAATAGATGATATTCAGAAAGAAACTACATTAAAAATGACATGTAGTAATCACAATAAAAATAAAAAATTATATTTTGTAATTAACTATAAATGGAAATCACTAAACAAACTTGAAACTAGTCATCTGACACTCACACCCAAAACAAGTATTGATTACAAGGGAGAGGGGAGCTGGTATTCCAAATATTAACAGGAGCAATACTCCAGACAAATTTGCTAGAAGTATTATAAAAATAAGGCAGCACATGATTTCAAGCAAATAAAATATGCAGAAATTTGAACCAAAGGAAGTAAAGGGAAGATATGAGATGCTGACCTTCCAACGGGATAAACATCAACAGAATTTCCTAAAAATTTGGTTTTCAACTTTGATGTTATATCATATATGAAATGCTCATTTTCAGCATGTGCAGCACTCATTGGAGGATGATGACTCACCTGCGAAGTTTTAATCAGTAACACAAGAAAAGTAAATCGCATAAAAATTTACAATCTACACACAGCTTTTACAAATTCTAAAAAGTACATCAGAATTTAGTTTCACGCTCTTTCCATTTTCATAAATACCCAACACAATATCTGCTTAACTGCTAATATATTATATTCACTGTGGAATAGAATGCAAGGAAAGATCAGCAGGAGGCCCCAAAGATCAAATTAAGGGAATATGGACATGAAGGAATTACCTGCTCAGAAAGAAAGGTAATGCCATCATGATTCACCATTTCATATGTCTCACCAAGAATTGGGTTGAAAGGCTTCCACGTACGTTGGTAGGCATAGTAAACAGATATTGCCCATGATGCTACACGAATTTTCATTACTCCCTTATTTCTTTAAAAAAATACATCAAACGTAACATGATAAACAACAAAAACTTTCTGCACACTAAAGTGAAGTACTCACTTGCATAGACCAACCGCATGTAGGGATCCTCACATTCATCAGCCTTGTCTAAAAGGTGAGAGTATTCCATTAACTGCCACAAAAAAAAAAAAGAATTAGCATGTAAGCATGATTTTATCTCTCTTATGTGTTTTTTTTTGTGGCAGTGGGGGTGGGTGGGAGTCTAGTGTAGACATGTGGTAGCTAAACAAGCAAACAAACCTCTGCCATTTTTTGAAGCATTGTCATTGGCTCAAATATAAGAACAGGAAGTGTCACCATAGATGTAATATCAGCTCCAATATAGTTCTGCATCATCCTCCAGTAACCATCTCGTTCCTTTTGACAGACCAATACATAAATATATTAGTTTGCATATTGAAATATATTACATGAAATGCTTATAAACTCTAAACCAATTTACACACAAATGTAAATATGATGGATTTAAACACTCATCAAGTTACAGGTTCATGAAGAATTTGAACATAGACATGCAAAAAACTAAACTAAACAAAACAAAAGGAGAACCCTCTTGTCATACAGATTAATTTATTAAGCATGCAGCATATGCGCAAGAGTAGATTCATTTTCACCATTATGTGTGCACAACCAAAAGATATTTTCATATACGCTTCCACAAATGTGTATGAAGTCCTGGCATTACTTGGAAAATTCAAAGGAAAATGTATTGTAAAGAGACCATCCTATCATAGTAAAATACGGAGTAGAAAACAACATATGGTTGAAATATGGCTCACCTCCTGTTTCCACCTGCCTCTGTGTGCTTCGTCTTCGGCATCTTCTTTACCTCCTTCGGGATTTATAACTTCCAATCCTTCATATCCAAGCAATCTAGAGGAGATGTGAAAAGAGAAAGAGGAACTAAGTTAAACCAGAATGCTTCACCCACAGAACCACTTAACATTAATGATAATTGAGAGGAATCTGGCAGACCTATAATGACTGCCTCATTCAACAAGCCTAAAGTAGGTAAATAGTAAACTCGAAACTTAGGATTGATGAAAATAAGTTTTATGAAGCAAACTCGCAAAGCATATTAAGCTATAACATTAGAGTGAAACAAATTAATGGCCTCAAGCAATGAAACAATAATAGAGCAGCTAGTACCTATATTCTAAGAATATATGTAGTCCTAAAATTAGGGTGGCCATCAGTTCTACACTTCTACCTAACAGCTAGCATTCGAAAAATATGTTAACAATTTTCTAAATCCCAAGTGTAACTAATGTGCCATGGCCACAGATTGAACAGGAATTTCCGTTTAATACGTAATACACAGTAACATTTGTCTAGCAACTACTGAATTGGGGAAAATGTTAAAGCTCTACAATGAGATGCTCAGGGCAATGCAACTGATAAAACTTTGAAAGCTGATTCAGGCAGTAATTGCATAAACCGCCCTTCTAATCTGTGTTATCTACTCAGTGAGTACTCGACAAGTACTCGCAACTCGGGGGTGGCCATTCCGTTTAGCAATTCGACTCGGCCCACCCTGTTTTTCCGAGTTACTCGCCGAGTACACGGCGAGTTTCTTGACTCGGGAAAATTTCTGACTTCGTGAGTTACTCGGCCAGTCATAAAATAATGTTTTGGTAAAATGTGAAAAGTTTTAATTAATGATGGATAATATGGAATTTATAAATAATTAGTGGGTATTTTCAATAATGGAAATTATCCTTAAAAAGTTTAGATTTAAAACTATTTCAAACATCAGCTCTTTCTCGTTCTTATTCATTAGGATTATTATTATTATTATTATTATTAATTTATTCATATCTGTATATTACTATAAATTTGGACATTTATATTTTTAGAACTAATTAATATAGGGCCAAGTAATCACAGAATAATCCCAAGTACTTGGTCCTACTCACTACTCAGCCCTTAACCGAGTTGCTACCAATAAGCTATTTAACTACTACGTACTTAGCTTCTAACTGCTTACAGAGCCAGCAAGCCTGCAGCCCCCCATACATAAAATTATAGGAGTCTGCTAATTTGTAGCTGCAAAAAAACTCCTTGTTTTCAAAATCTGAATTTGTAGACACTCGATCGTCAAGTTTAAACTATTATCAGACTCCATGTGTTATAATAACTGCATAGGTTCCTTGCATAACTCTGAAACCTAATAAAAATGAAAGGAAAATTGAGAAAAAAGGATACAAAGTAAAAAAACACAGCGAATTGGCAATAAAAAAATTTTAAGACATACATACATGCACAAATACACACATACATGCACATAAATACATACTAACATACATACATACATGTGTGCGTGTTCGGAAATTCATCTCAATCATCGCCCATTAAGAAAAAATTAGATAAGCTAGACCACACAAAGCAGGTGGAAATAGATGCATCGAGTGGCTTACCCGTTGACGGATCTATGCAGGGCGCTGCCGAACATCGACAAACCCGAAGACATGGACGCGAAGAAGCCCTTACTCTGGTTCTTCTTTGGGCTCCCCATATTCTCTAAAGTTCCACCGGAGTTAAAAATTCAACTTGATTAAAATCAATTCCGGTAGCAAGGAGAATAAAACCCCTGTCTGATCGATTCTAGCAAGGAGAAAAAGAGGAATGGTAAATTTGCAGGCCCGAAGGAGAAGGCGCCGGGGCGATGTTTGTGGCGGAGTTGATTCGACCAGCGAGGATAACAGGTGTTTCTAGTTGGCGGTTCTCCACTTTGATCGCTGCAGTTTTTTTTGAAGCTCATTCGGCATCTGTCCGTCTTTTTTAATATTAGTCCCTCTTTTTTCAAACTTTTCTTTTTCCATTGTCCCAAAATTATTTTCTTTTTCTCCCTTTTTGTTAAGAGGATTCATATTTGTTTCCTCTTTGAACAATTATTCATCACACAATATATATCATCTTAATCCTCATGTCATTTGTACTTCGAGAGATAAATTAGGAATGAAGGAAGCATCATTATTGTAGATGGTATTGGTCCACCTCACCCGAGTCATCCCTGAGTTGCCTTTGGTCCACCTCATTTAAGGAGTTGGTCTCCTATTTAATTGTCGTGGCCCAAATTAGGCTGCCTACCTGACCAATCCCACTCCCCCTAGTTGTATTCTACCCAGCCCGTGACTATTGTGGCCCTTGATATACTTGTCTGGTTCTTTCTCGAACCTCCTATTTCTTCCACTCTTCCTTCTCTATTCGATGAGCCTCTTATTCAGTTACCCTAGACCTAGAGTGAGAGAGTGTCGGTTTCATCTTAGCCTTAGCTCCGGCTATGCTCTGGTGAGACCTTGAGGTTCCTATTGGGGTCTTCACTCTAGTCTGGTAGTGTGGTGGGTTTTACCTCCGGTGGGGCTTCTGGGTTGGGGCTTGGGTTCCGTGAGTGAGGGTAGTTGATTGTTGCCCTTCAGTTTCCCTATTGCAACCTTGGTGGTGGATGTGAGCTAGCCCTTGGGCTTTTGGTGATTGAGGTCTGAGCCGGTCCGTATTTCCAACAGTGGTATCAGAGCATGGACGTTGCTGCCTCTCGCTGACGCCGGAAGCTCGCCAAAGAACTCCCACACCTGGTAACGCCTGGAGCTTCATCAGAGAATGGTAAGTCAGGTTGTCTCTCAGTGACACCCGCTCAGGTATAAAAGCTAAACCCTAGTCTGGGCTGCCGAAGTGCCACCGGCTTCTGTGCTGCATGGGTAGGCTTGTTGTCTCTGAGCGACAATGTACCGAATAGAAACCCTAGAAAACCTTGCATGTACAGTATCTGTTAGTACATATCTGTAGAAACCATAGGTGTGGTTCGGTTGTGCATGAGTGGTCCAATCTGTGTCGAACTTGGCCACTGATTATCTGTGAACTTTGATTGGCTTATCAAACTCGATTGTTCTAGCTTTCAACAAGAGCACCAAATGATAGAGTATATGTTCTAGAGAGAAGTGAGAGCTAGAGAGAGAAGTGCAATATATGCTGTAATAAATGATTTCTCAACACCTACAACTACTCCCAAGGGGAGTATTTATAGAGGAAACGTGGGCTGGGCTCCCAAGTCTTGGGCTTGAGAGACTCATTTACAATTGGGCCACTACTGGGCTGAGTACAACGTATGTGGAAATGACTAAGTATGAAATCCGGCTCTGTGAGCTCTCTGTGGCTGACGGAGACCCGGCCGATGGAGACACCTAGTTCTCATGACTTCTGGATCATGTTCTGAGTTGATATCTTTCTGGCCGATAGAGACGTTCGGCCGACGGAGGACAAGTCTTCTCCTTGGCTTCTGCAACGTATTCCGGTTTGACTCTTCTTCAGCCGATGGGGTGCCATCTGGCCGACGGAGGGCCCACTGGATGACAGTTGTGCTCCTCTTAGTCTTCTGAGTATGTGGCTCATGGGGTCTGGACCCATATACTCCATCAAATATGTTTTTTCACTTTTTCTCTTTGTCTTGTTTCATCCCACCATTCCTAGGGGCGAGGGGGTGGGGTGTTTGTTGGCTCAAATATTCACAAACTAATAAAGTTTTTACTTTTCCCAATTGTAGCTTGTATTTGGTACTTATATATGACTTCTATGTGTCACAGGACATGCGGTCACCTCCAAAAGCAGTTAAAGTACGCACCTCAGTTGTTTATTATGTAGTATACTTCAGGCTTAAATTTGTTATCTCAAATGAGTGTGAAATGATTCTTAATTTGTAGCAATAGTCTGGGTGCTTTCACCTTCCTTGGTCCTGCTTCTTTCACTACAACAGAATTATAGGAAAAAATCTCTAGGTCAATTGAAACAAACTGACTAGCAGCACTGATCCTGTTTTTAAAAGCACCAGCACACAGCCAATATGTGTCTGTCATATACTCCTATTTATATTCACTTCTAAATCATTATTCACCTTTTGGCTTTCAAGGTTTCAATGCTGCTGTGGCGGGTTGTTGTTTTGCTATAAATCAGTATTGTGGGCATCACCTGCAGATTCATCATTATCAATGATGAATACATCATCAATGGTCATTCTTAGTGCAATATTAGCTTCTGTAGTGTCAGAAATAGGCTTGGGCTCTGGACCTGCCTTTTCGATCCCAGGTTATGATTCGTTCCCTAACAGCTAATTGGTATTTATCTCTATGTTTTCATTCGTTCTCTAACAGGAAATAGGACTTAAGAGTAATATGTTATGTGCATGATATGCATTATAAATGACAGTGAGTGCAGTTGGTTAATTGTGCTCTGTTAGCATGGTCCGCTTTTATTAGTTAAAAACAAGGAAATATGCATCCTTAAGGCCACAAACATATTTTTGTTTAGTTTATAACTATTATTGATTTGATAATACCACCTACTACTTGGTTTGATCAGTGGTATGTGTTTGGAAAAATGTCCATAACAGATGCTTTATGCACTTTAATTGTTTGGGATATTATCCAATTATTCGGGTCATTTTCACTATGTTCAAACTAGCTATCTACTTTCATTAGCTTAATCAATGGAATGTGCATATTTAAGCCTTCATATTTCTTTGCACCTTGGCTTGTTTTCTTAGTAGCAGCTTCACATGCTAGAAACTCCCCACCTCTTAACATATGTCAAATGATATGATATGACTTATGAATAGCTTTACCCAAATATCCAAATAGAAGAAATGTAATATCTTACTCTGAAGAAAACTCCTTCCCTTTCTTGCAAACATTTCCAAAGCTACGGAATTATAGGTTCAGAACCACATTTCATATGCTCAGAAAGTAAACCCACAACAACTACTTTACTGTCATTTGTTGTTTTATGAGAAGGATAAATAGCTTGCTATTTTAACCTCTGATTTTTATGAGTCAATGAAAGAAAAAAGAGAAATGGACAAACCTGCCAAGCCTATATCACTGATTTTTTTACCATCACCAAGAATGAGATATTCATGGAAACTCCTATATGTGCCACAGGCTGCAACTCCCACTGCCCATGGGCTAAAGGCGATCACACTGTAAGGTCTTGGACCGTGGTTCCCATCAGCTTGGACAACAAAAACTCCAGCTTTGTGTGCCGCCAACATGAAGATCTCATACAACACCAAGAACGTGAGTGCTTCTTTTGGTGGGTCATCTGGCTCTATTGACATTGTTGAGGGTAAGTCCCGTAGATCCGAAAGCCCAACACGAACTTTGGATATATCAGGAATGGCCCAGAATCAAAGCGTATAAGAAAATATAAGATCTGAACTAACTAAAACTCGAAAGCCCACTTGTATTAATTAATCAATCTGATTACAAGGAATTTCCCGATCGGTAAGTCGGAAACTATGCTTTAATACAAGAAATAAGAGCAAATGATGCTATTCTAGAGCTTGAGTATTGAAATGATAACCCTTACAATGACTTGAAACCTTCTATTTATACTAATGGAGAGCATGGGCTGCCTCTTGCTGATTGGCCGTGGTTCCACCGACTTGGTCATCCATGCTTCCACTTGCCGATGTCATAGTCTGGCATTAATTGCACCTGGCCACTTGCTGGTTGGCCGTTGCTCGGACGGGATGTTGGGTTGTACTGAAGATGCTGTCAAATTGGCCCAAGTATGATATATAGTCCGAGCCCCGTTCGATATGTCTTCTTACTGGGCCAACCTTTATTTGGGCCGAACTCCGTTCGGTATGTCTTCTTACTGGATCTATTCATCACAGAGTGATGGGCCCGTTGCTTGGGCCGGATATCTTGGGCCTTCCCGATCTGGGTATTGGGCCTCTAGGTCAATATCCCAACACAAGTCCCCCACTTCCGATGTCTCGAACGAAGTGAGTGCATTAGGAAGTATACCAATGTCATAATACCCCGAATACCGATCGGGAAATTCCTTGTAATCAGATTGATTAATTAATACAAGCGGGCTTTCGAGTTTTAGTTAGTTCAGATCTTATATTTTCTTATACGCTTTGATTCTGGGCCATTCCTGATATATCCAAAGTTCGTGTTGGGCTTTCGGATCTACGGGACTTACCCTCAACAGACATTGATAGGGTATCTACTGCAACTAACGCTGCCTACAAAGTAGGTTGGCAGATAGTTGTGATTACGGTAAGGAAAATGAAATATTCTGAATTGGGAGCTCCTAATTTAGTTGATTCATTACTTGGTCAATAGCTGCTAAGACATCTGAGAGAACTCCTATTGTTCAATATTGCCTCCTTCCTTAAAACTTTGCCAAAGTTGACCGGCACGGAGAATAATTAAGTAAAAACTGTGTGGTTGAGATTTGTGTAAAGGAGAGAGAAATAACAAAACCACAAAATAATTGATTAAAAAGGAAAGTGGCGAAGTTTTTTGGGACGTCCCAAAAAAGAAAGATGACAAAGTTTTAAGGGACATGGGAGTATATAGCTTTATAAACAGCAATCTTGTCAAGGAAAAAAAATAATGAAAATGGTGTAGTAAATTAGCTTTATCGGCCTCTTCCACCTATTAGCTTTATAAACAGCAAACTTGTTTTGAATGGTTCAATTTTACAAAAATACTAATGTGGATTCTCAAACTATGCAGTCTATGTTCAACCAGATATTGATAAAGACTTGCTTTATTGGATGCGGATGGTGATGCCAGGAATAATGATGTCTACTTGTCTAGCGTGTACAAATAAAAATGTTGTATGATTATAGTGTAGATTTATAGCATATTGTAATACACTATTGATATTGACACTATAAAATAATTTGAGTAATAAATACAAATGTTGATATTTTATTTTGATTAGTTATTGTAATTTCTAAAATCTTTCATAGAATCACTAACAAATAATATAATGATTAATATAATATTATAATCATATGACATCAATGTGTCGAAGTTTTTATGACACCAATGTGTCACAAATTCTTATGATACCAATGTGTCACAATTTCTTATGATACCAATGTGTCATAATCTTTGTATCACATTAATGTGTCACAATTTACTGACACTCTTATGTTTTACGATCAGTGACACTATTTTTAGTGTCACTAGTCGCCACTTTCCATGACGCTTTTTTAGTGTCACAGAAACTTTCAGTGACACTAAAATAGTCCCGTCATAACCGTGGTCGAGCGTCCATAAGGGCCTAGTGGGGGATCCTTGATATGCCAAGGATATACATCCGTTCATATTCCCCGAGGTGCAGACGACCGTCGTCTGTGAGACCGTGAAGCCAGCCTGGGTTCTGTGGTGTATAAGGGCATGGACCCGTACGTCGGGTGCCAACTTCCTTGGCCGAGGGCCCTAGGATGTTACCTGACAGGCACTAGGAAAAAGGTCCATGGGGACGAGCGTATGCCATTATGGACCCTGATGCCCCCAGTGTTTAGTGGATAATGGGCCAATCTCACACGGTGCCACCGGGCCTATTAACCCAACAATACCCTTAATCGTCCTTTGTACTCCACTGTCTGTATAATTGTTTGTAGGGACACTATTCTATACACAGTTTCATGCACATATATTGTTGTGTTGTTTTTGTTAACCACCCTGTATGAGATTTTGATTTTATTTACTCCAAGCGTAAGAACAAACATACAACTATGACCGGTTTGTTGAGTCTCATATATCGAGGATATTGATAAAGCTAAATCCTCTTGGGCGGGTAACGATCAAGCGAGAAAAGGTGAGATGATCGGTGCAGGGGTGTGCCCGGGGATTCGTATATGCTACAACCGGCTGTACGGTGCGCAACGTACAGCCGGCCCAAATTAGAATAATGTTCTGTCGAAAAGCAAGGAATCTCTCAAAGGATGCAACATTTTAGGGGGAGTATTCAATGTTATCCTTCCCGGTGCCTAACAATGTCAAAGCATACCGAGTGCTCCAGTTGAGGGGGAGTACAGAGAGAAAATGAAGTAAGTAATGAGAGAACATGTCCCTATGGCTTAGTAAACCCAACTAAGCCTACCCAAGGGACAAAGCCGAGCGTAAGTGAGTGAGTGAGCAAGTGAGTGAGTGAACATTATGAGCATTAGGAAGCAGAAGGCTCAAGTGAGAAGAAAAACAATTTTCAATGATGAGTCTGCTACCTCAACTGCCTATTATCCATTGAACATTTACTCCTAGCCACTAAAATACTTTGGACATTTCCCAAATAGGTTCAAGACTTATTTAATCAGATCCCGGGTAGAAGTCACTGCATCTTGTCCAATAGTGCATGTTGAACCCTATCCAAGACCACTCACTTGTCTCCCAACAGACATGTGTTTAATCACATTTCACGGGGAACCGCATCTCTCATTACTACCTCCTTACGAGGCAATCAATACTGACTACAGTGGCCTCAGCCCCATGCCACTGAACTTTCATTGATCACGTCGTGTCTAGTTACCTCACTCCCAAATGTTTTGAATTTTCTAGGACACCGACGCACTTTTTGAGTCAGTTGTAGGTCTTCAAAGACCCGCGAGAACTTCCATAGGTCTCATCTATTGCAGATGTAGACTAATGATTGGAAGGAAGTCCTGCTGTTGCAACATAAGAATCACCAACATTTTCAGGCCATTGCTTTAGAGTTTATCTCTATAGTGATGAAAACGGGTGTCTACACGACCCCGGGTGGCTTTTATCATTTACTCTTTCAGTTTGTTTCCTGTTTATTTCCGCAGAATAAAAGAATAAAAGCATGACGTCCCGATTCATCGGATCGTTATGAGGGGGAGAGTGGTCCACATGCTGTTAACACTGAACAAATCATTCTGGGACACTTCACTCCTCCATCACAAAAATCAACACCTTCTCTGATATCTCTACAACTCAAATCAAATGGTCAGCTACACTCACAAATCAACAATCATTATGTTCCGTTGTGCCACCGACAAGTTCTCCTCAAATGCATTCATTCCAAATAGTCAAAAAGACTACATTGTGGAGGAGACAGAGGTCAAATACTCGTGTCCTGAAGATGAATTCCATGAGCGTCTCCTATTCTCCAAAGAATATTCATTCTAGAGGCGTCACCGGACTTCATCCAAGCTGATCAAGAGCAACTTCTGGAAGGCAAGGACTACATGCAAGATACTGAAGGTCCCTCAACCCCCGGCATCAAAGATCAAATTGTCAAGAAGACATCAAAGGGGAGATTGCAAGGATTTCTTCAGATAGCCTTCCTCAGAAGTCAAGTTCAAAGTAAAAGGAAGCTGAATAACAACAAAGACAAAGATATCCGCGCTGCAATGCTGATTGAACATGATTGAACACCAAGGGGGAGATTGTTAGGAATATTTTATGGTGTCCAATCTAATTAAATATCTTTGTATTTGTGTAGTTATTAATTAAACGTGTAATACGGGCCACAAATGTGTATCAGCCCGGGGGCTTCCTTGTAACCCGTAAGTTAGCCAACTTCTCCTATAAAAGGAGGCTAACTTACGGGAACTCTAACTAATCAACAGAGGCTTAGAGACGCAGAGGCGATATAGAGAGAGATTAGGGTTGTCGCTGCTCTCCTTCTCCAGGGAGAGCAGCGGACAGTTCATACGGTATACCAGATTTGGTTTTAAACTTGTCGATTTCTTTCTATCTGCTTCTTCTTTATCACTGCGTATATTTGTTGAATGTTAAATTCTGGGTTTATCACAATCCAGAATAACTTCTACACAATGAATATGATATATACGAAGAATATGACAACACAAAATACCAGCCTCTGGGAATTTCTGACAAGAACAACTAACAAAATGTGTTGTTACATCAAATGAAACCCAATGTGAAAACCGATCCGTTTGAGTCATCCATACTAAATATCCCATTAAAGAACCTTGATGGTATCTAAATTCAAATTTCAGAGACATACCTCGCATAAATTCATTCTCAAAAAGTTTATAAGCATCAATAGTATAAAGCTTGGAAGCTTTATGTAACAAACTAACATAAGGAATGACAATTTCAGGAAAACCATCCAAACAACGCTGATGATCTTTGCCCTCATTAGTTCTCCAATGATTGACAACTTCACTAAAAAAAGATAGAAGTCACATAGAGAAGAGGTAGCATTCAATTTTCTAGACAAAGAGTGATTTGTGGTCTCGCTTCGTTGTGAAGATAAAATGCCAGCAGAAAAGAATTCCTTTGAAAAAGCTCGACACCATTTGTCCCTCATCTCATACAGTTTGCTTGACCAAGGATTATCAGAGCAATTATATTCAGATATCATTCTGCAAAGCACAACAGATAATCATTTCACACAATTCCTTACTCATTATTGTTCTAAACAATACTCATGAACACAGTATTAATGTAAATAAGGAAAAAGGAAAAAATATATAATGTTAATGAAACATACCTAATCCAGTAATAATCAAATTCAGCAACGATGTGACAAAGTTTCAAAACATGATCAAACAATTCCAAGAATCCCTCTTGATTCCTTAAATCGCGTAAATGTTTCTTAGAATTTTCAATGATAGGCCATATACAAAGACGATGTTTGGAGAGAGGAAAAACTGTAGAAATGGTAGCAGATTGATCTGTCATAACAGTTCTTGGGTGGACATAACCCATAGATTGCAAAAAAGTATTGAAAAGCCATTCAAACGACTCAATTCTCTCATTTAACAAAAAGCCACAACCAAACATGCAATTATGAGTGTGAGAGTTAACACCAACAAACGGTCCACAAATCATGTCATACTTGTTGGTGCGGTAAGTCGTGTCATGGATAAGCAATTCACCAAATGCAAGATAATCTTCCTTCATTTTCTTGTCTCTCCAAAAAAAACTAACCAAACTACCATCCATATCAACCTCAAAAGAAAAGAAAAATTCATCTTCATTTGTCTGTCTGTTCTTAAAAGTATTAATCAATGTGTTTGCATCACAATCATCAAATGATTTTTTAATCTTTTTTGTCAACTCATTATAAGCGTCACGCAAAAGAAAACCAACAGCAGGAGATCCACCAACTTCTGCTTGCAAGCAACGAAAACCATCTGCTACTTTAACTCCTTTATTTTTCAAATGTCGCAAATACTCTAATTCATTTGACGAAACAACATGATGAGACCTAACATGATGAACTAAAGAACTCAGGAAAAAATTGTGATTATGAACCATATCATGCCTAACAACAACAAACTCACCAGTAGGCTTTATCTCGAAATATATTTTTGCCTTGCAACCAGTTCACCTATAAACTTTTGTATATTGTTTACCTACAACACCTTTATTCCTTTTTACACCTTGTTTCGTGCAACAAAATTCCCTTCCCCTAAAGCCAGAACAACCACCTCTCTTTCTTAAAGTAGAATAACGAACACCAAATTCAATTATGTAAGCGTACTCATTATATAGCTCAAATGCCTCTCTATCTGAAAAAACTGTTTTACCCAATAACTCAGAAATTTCAGCTTCCTTATCTGAGATTGTTTCAACACACAAATGCTCATCAGATTGATTTACATGAACAAAAGTAGAAGAATTTTGAACTGCAAAAAAAATTAAAATTTTAAAACAAAAAAAATAACAAAGTGATAAAATGTAAGAAAGCACAATACTTGGTAGCACAGGAACAGAGTCAGTTGTAGACAAAAACTCTTCACTTAACGTATCACCAGAGGCCAAGTAATCTGAATCAATAAAAAATACAAAAGTAAATATCAAATAGCTCAAAGTAAATAACACACAAAAAACAACAACAATATGTGACTTGTAAGGAAAGAAAATATTATTGCAATCAACT